TCGAATTCAATTTTCTGCGCCAGCTTTCTCTGTCGTACGCATATTACTCCTATAAAGTAAATAGTTTTTATTCAAGTGACTCATTAAATTCATTACTTTCTTCAACATAATAAGAGATTACTACGGCTTTTTCTTCAGCGAATTTTCTATCGATGAATGAAATGCCCAGCCTCGTCAGTTTCAGGGTAATTGTCCAAAAATATATGTTCTCGGTTATACTTGAATGATTTTGATGGAACTTTTTCCATCTTCTATAAAAAATGATTTCATAAGCTAGGTCGGTTAAGAAGATCAGTAGATCCACAATTTCATGTACGATGGTAACACTATCAGACTTTGTAGCTGTATATTGGAGTATTTATTATCGTAACTTTTCAGACAAGCACTGTGAACAGTAAATTGCTACAATCTTCATGGTAACTTTTGAAAAACATTTTAAATTACGGAATTATTGATTTTGAAATACCGAATCTCGTTTGGATTAAAGGTCGATTACATAATCACGAATACATGTATATTTGCACACGTTTCGGAGAAATGAAAAATAGCGTGTTTTATTCTTTCAAGTTGTGGCTTGATTGGTAACTGGATTCGAAAAAAATGTTTTCTAGAAAACGTTTACGCCTTTTAAAACTGAACCAATCTTTATTCTTCAGGATTTAAGATTAAAGAATTATAGAGAAAACCCTAAAAAAAGTCACAAAAATACCGGTTTTCGGGTCTTATTTATTTATTTACGTCAAAAAAGTTAACAACTCTGTGTGACATGTTATGGGGAGAAGTTAATTTGAAGTTACATTTATGTCCAGAAGCAAAACAAGGAGTTATCTAAGCTAATTAATCACGTAAGTTAATCACGGAAACGGGACGAACACCTGGTCGAGGTGGGGGCATTGACCCAGAAGCTGAAGTACAGTACTTGTTACAGGTTCTTTACAATTATACAATCCAAATGGAAAATAACACACTAAATGTCGTCGTTAATATTAATATTACTTTCCTTTTGGATGCTCGGTATAGTCTCTAATCGCAAAGAAACAGTTGCGCAGCATAAAAGATTTTACTTGGGACTTAAACCTTTGTATCGAATTTAATCTGGCAAAGTGTTCTAAAATAGTGTACATGTATTGTGTGTGAATTTTTGAAGTGAGTTGTTGATACTGTCACCTGATGAATATGATTACTACTTTGAGTGTTGTAGATATAGATATCAGACTTTGGTGAAAATATTTTCCCGCCCTTAAGTACATCATTTTTGACAAAAACCACTGATTCATATATCAAAAGACAAGGTAATGGTAAGATACCTAGACTAATACAAAGGGGCTTACAAGAACCATGTGTGTGGGATTTGCTGATTATTCGTACAATTCTTTTTTGTAATTGAAAAGTCTCGGAGCTATAAGATGTATTTCCCCAGAATATTATGCTATATCTCAGGCGGGAATGAACATTTGCGGAATATACACAACGAGTAGTATAAAGGCTGACTGAATTTAAAAAAATTCAGAAAGCATAGCATAAAGAACTTAATTTAGTGTTCAATTGATTTACATAAGCGTTCCATTAAAGATTTCACTGAATTGAGAGAACTAAAAATGTGTTTACATTAACATCAGCCAATTGCACGCCGTTCATTATCAATGGAGTACAAATGTGTGTATTTGAAATGGAAAACTGCATTGAAACAATTTTCTTTTCATATGCTATTAATTTATTACGGAACCAATCGGAAATATCTGATATTGTATTATTTAGTACTATACTATTTTTATTATTGCAAAAAATATTCGTATCAACCACAAAGAGAACTGTTCTTCCGTTTCTAATTTCTTGTTTCTTTATTTATTTTTTCTCCTCGTTCAGTGCATAATTTTCTTCTATCATTTCCTCTTCTCATAAATTTTCTATCACATGCCCTTCCCCTTCCACCCTACCTACCCTTCGCTTCTATTTGAGAAGAGATGAAGTCAAGTCTATCTACCAGCGGCCGCTCGTATGGGGAGAGTAGAGAATCGATTTTCGCACGGCCCTTTTGCTGTTGTTAGGTTACTATGACAACAATGGCGTCCAGTCTAGCAGAGAACAGAAAACAGGGGACCTCAAATGGCTTGATATACGGCAGGTATGACCAACTTTATAACTTTATTTATATACTTTCAGTTATATTTAATGACAATTTCGTTACGAAGTACGAATTTACAAAAATAGAGCATTTAATGGGGCGTTAAGATGTTAATCAATAATGAAATATTCAAAAAAGTGCATACACAAAAATAATAAATAAAATAAATAGGAGTTAACATCAATGTTCTTATAATTATTGTAATAATGGAAGTAATACGGTGCGTACGAAACTGGATTTAGTAGCAATGTTACTTGAAAATTATTGCGGCTCATGCCCAATATTTTAAAATCATAGGATGAATATTTCTTACAGTGTTTACCTGTGCTATTTGTATTTGATTTCTTGAATCTGCGTGTAAGTGTGATTATAAAATTGATAATGATACACAGGTAAAATACTATTCGCGGAATTCGAAATCCAAGTGCAGCTCGAATGGACTTGCTCGCTTGCCCGGGCATGATTACTGACTGTAGGCTTCAGGAAGGGTGTAGGATTGCGAGGATATGCACGCGTAGCTTTTCCCCCTTCCAGATTCTATCCAAGGCCACATGGTGATGGCCCCTCGATCCCAGGGTATATGACCGCGCTACTACTCATTAAACATCAAAAGTTTAAGAAAATGCCTTTGTTATTTTAATGAACATATTTAAGGCTTTTAATATATATACCAATAATGAAAAATGAAACTTTCTATTGAAGTTTTATTTTGCTTTTTTGTCAATTTTGACACAGATGCCTTTTTATTCGTATTTACATTTTTAAATGCCTTATTAATTACTTTGTTCATATTTCTATTTATTCTTGGCTGAAAATTTTAATTTTAATAATTTTAATTTATCTTAGCCAGATAGTTGTATACCAGGCTTCGATAAATTGAGATGACTTGATTTTTCATCTTTTCTATAATTGAATTTTATAACTTAAGCGCCCAAAATATGACTTTTCTTGCACGTCTTTGTACAAATAATACTAGTAATGCTACAACAACACATGCTTTCTCTCACTGTTTGTGACGTCTACGCGATATTATACTACTACATGAACCTGCAAAATTGTTTCCAACAAGCAAAAAGGTTTTCTTTGCCCGAGATTAGAGCTCAGGTCCATGGAGTTAGCATGCCATGCGCTTTACTGCTATATCACGCCATCACTTGGCCATACTCGCTTTTGTCAACGACTTCAAAATTTATAGTCTCTTCAGACGTATACAAATTTCGAAAATTCTGAGAGTTTAACGAAAATTAGATCTGTGCCATTTTTTTTATCTTTGCTCTATCCGTGGCAAAAAATAAAAGTAAATCTTCGGGCCGTTTTTGAGATATTTTTACTTTGTAAGAAGATGTGATCGTGCGCTGGAAAATCGAAAGAAAATCAATTATTCCCGGGCTCTGGAAACACAAATGTGGATAAATATACTTCCTATATATATATATATATATATATATATATATATATATATATATATATATTGTAAATTACTTCCCCTAATACAATGTGTGGTCAGAATCCATGTTTTATGGGTCCTTGTCCGGCAAAACGTCCGTCCCCTTGTGTGTGGTCAACACTAGCTTCTAAACCGTTCTACTGATTTTATTAAAAATTGATATTCCCTGATGAATTGAAATGTACTCCAAGCCCTCGAAATTTGAAACGAATATTTTGATTTGGGAGAGGTACTTTATCAGGGTAAGCACCAACATTTTAATTTTGTTTTCAAAAATGACTCCAAATTACACAGTGTATTTTACATGTGTATTTTATTAAAGTTTGTTCTCTTGTTATAGGCAATTTTAAAGATTTTTCCCAGAAACGGCTCGGAATTTTCCCCCGCAAGACGACGTGTAGGTGGTCGCCGGATCTCACCATCCAGGGGGGTGCATTAAGCATTCACTAAACTTACGGGAATAATAGCCATAACTGTTGTCACGCCCGGAAAGATCAATAGATAAATTAATCGATCCTCGTCCGTCTGTGGTGAACACCTAAACAAATCACTTTTCTACAATATGTACGATATTTCGCAATTTATCAATATTGAGTTGTAGGAAGTCACCGAAACTACTTTTTGCAGTTGTCAGAAATTCAGAGAGTTCAGAAAAAATGAGAACGGCGCAATTTTTGAAGTGTCTATTGCTCTATTCGAAGAAAAGATCAATCCAAAAAGTGGGAGAGAGAAAAAGAGAGAGAAATTTTGAGAAAAAAATCTTTCAGAATTTTTTGAGAAAATTTTGAAAATGTTAAGGCTTTATGAAAATTTCCCACAAAAATAAAGATATCCGTTTCAAATTTGCAGGGCCTCGGGTGCGGGCTGATTGATTGGGGAATATCGATTTTGGAGGAAATCGACAGGCGTAAGGTCACAGCACACCACAGACCGACAGACAAGGACGCGCAAACGAACAAATAGAAGTTTTACCGTAAACTAAATTTTTTGGTATCAAGGACTCCCAAATCGAATATTCTTACTGCACAAAATGTAAAAAAAGTACTTTACTACACACAGGAATTAAATTATTTCGCAAAACACTAGTTTTACAACATCAGACCCCAACGTTACGAGTTTTTCTGATGAAAAACCGCCTTCTTCCGCTGCAGCATTACAATATTTTCTTTTTACTGTATAAGTACGTAGAGGGCGAGACATTAAAAAGGTGTATCTAGCTTCTTTGTTCCTAAAAAATTACACAAACACATCGAAATAAAGGCTATTATTTTAATATAAATAATATTATAAATAATAATTTTAATATAAAGGCTATAAATTTAAGAAAAATTGAAAAAACTTCATTCTCATCTGAAGTAAATTAAACAACCACACACTTCTGGAAAAGTAAATGAATATATTGTATGTGCATTGCTATCTTTCGCAGAGTGAACACGGCCCAGCCGGAGAAAATTAAAGTCACATTTTGCACTGACCTAGAGAAATCCGTGCTTGTTTGTAATTTTGAAAAGCGAGGATGGACTCAAGTAGCGCCGGATTACGAGTGGAACTTCTACTGGGCAGGCACTCAATCAACAAGAAACCTATTTAGTGTTGAGAGTGGCTATCGACTCAATGATAATCAGTAAGTATGGTTTTGAAGGGGAGTCTGGTCTTAATCTTGCACAACTGCTATGCACGATTCATAAAAATCGAAAATGAATAAATGTAGAAATATTCCCTTTTCAAACTATCAGTTTTGTAGAGTCAAATTTACCATGAACATATTGCTTTTTCTCCATAGTACGTCACCCTATTTGAAACTATTTTGACACTAAATGAATGAATGAGTGAATGAATAAATAAATAAATACCTACATACAAAATATGCACTTGCGAAGGGGTCACCATCTATGGGGGTTGGCACCCCGGATTAATCAGTACTTGTTTGGTTACGTTAAATTGTTGTATTGTTCGGATTTGTATTTAAAAATTAACAACATTTAGTTAATTTTTGCTCATACATCTGTATGGTTTTCTTTCGGAGGGGGCCTGCAACATGATTTTGTGCATGGATGCCCCGCAGTACTTAAATCCGGCCTTTCAATTATGTGTAATTATAACAGCACACCATGAAACAACGACACCAGTAATGGCCACTGCGTCAGTTGGAGTCACTTCTAGCACATTTGATCAGAATCGGAAGCTTCTCACATGCCTCAGACTTGCAGAACGTGGAGCTCAGACCTGGTGAAGATTAGAACGATTAATTGATTAATTACTGATTCCCGGCGCGTCAACTGCTAAGATTATTAGTTCCGTAAGTAGAGTGCATGTTTTATCGCGGAAGGGGACAGTGATCATCCCCCTATGGATGACGATATACGGTGCCGACTTACTCGTCGCTTTGTGGGGGTTTTCCGCAACCACGTATTTTCCACCAGCGGGTACCGCCCCAGCCGGGACAAGCTCTAAGCTCCCGACGGTATCCCGGCATGTGTGGTAGTGTAGTGCATGTGAGTGTAATTTTGTATAAATAAGGTGTGAGAAAAGGATAAAGGTAGAGGAATGAAATACCGCGCGCGGACCATGGCCCGTTTATTAGTATACTGCTTCCACATTCGCCAAGCTAAATGCCTAGTTAACTGACAGAACACTACCGATCAGAGCAGCCGGCCGCTAGAATTATCCTCTAGACAGCGTCTTAACTCGACCTAGCTATGCAGCTTGTGTTGAAAATCCTGCCATCGTCAGAACTCGAACCCTAGGACCTCCCGGTGACATGAGTTGATGTCTTGAGCCATCTCCCAACACGTGTGCAGCCGGCATGATAATGGAGCGCAACAAGCCCTAAACGATTTCGACGACTCCCAAAAGACAGGAATCAATTATGAAAATTGCAGAATTAAGTCAAAATATATGGAAAGTGTATGCTGCACAGTGGCTAAAGACTCAAATAGCATACGAGGCAGTTTATTTGTATTTTTTAGAAATTATTTTTAGATACTGATGGTCTAAATATCACGCGACATCAAGATTTTTTTTTAATTCAACGTAAGCAATCGAGTAATTCCTGTATATGTTGTCAGTGAGATTCACTGCATTTGCCCTAAATGCGATGGGTACCTAGGTTCCATGCATCGACTGTAAGGTCCCATTAATTTAAAAATAAGCTATTTCAGGCGCACAATGGATTTTTTTTATTATATTTGTCATTAAATCCAGGGGAATCGAACTGGACATCTCCATATAACCAGACGAAATTTTTTCAGCGATATTTATATTTTATCGATATCCTACGTAAACATTTTTAACAACGCATCTGAAGAATCGGAAGATCTTTCTTTGAAATAAAGTTCTAGAGATAATGCAAATTACAAAATCGCACAAACATCGTAAAAATAAACTGTTCACAAGATGAATTTCCAAAAACGCGACATTAATACTAGCTATAAATGGTGTGAACAACTTTGTTGGAGCAATGTAGTTTCTCCGCATGCGTTAACTGGGCTTCAGTTTCAAAAGTTTTATTGTTGACAAATCAAGTTATAATTGAACTTAATTATTCAAATAACTGCGTCTTTTTGAAGTTCCGTCTAATATTCCGCAAAATACTCCTGTCTGCGGGTTAAACGCGCATGTCAACCGAATATGCATTGGTATTTCGTAATGTTTTTTTTTTTATTTATTTAAGGTGGTCAGAAAATAAATGTTTCATAGCTCAGACCGTCTGCAAAATTGCAAGAGCATTGCATGTAGAATCGCTAATCATATGTTATGTATTATTTTCGCTTTGGCAACAGGATACGCTTAAAAACAAAGATAATACGTAAACGTAAACAAAAACAAGCGCATAATATGTGGAAGAGTATTTTCCTTCCCGTCAATCCAAATTGTATTTCATTGTTTAACATCATTAACTTCCGTTTTGCCTTATTAATTTTCCAGGGCTATCAACCATTTCCCTAATCATTATGAACTGACTCGTAAGGATCTTTTGGTAAAGAACATTAAACGATACCGAAAAGAATTAGAAAGAGAAAAAGATCCTTTGGCAGAGCGAGGAGACAATCCCCCGCGTTATCTTCACCTGGATTTTATACCTGTGACATTTGTTCTGCCAGCGGGTAAGTAATTATTAAAAGGTTTATCGGTCACATGCGCCTTTAAGCCCTGTTTAATTCAACCCCACAGGTTTCTTAAGTGCTCTTGTATATTAAGAAATTTAACATCCTTAGCAACGTAAATAAACAACCAATGATTCATCGAATGTCAGCAGATTATTAAGAATAAAAACATGGTAATGTACAAAAAAATCGGTCTCAAATAATTCAGAAAAAAAGAAACTCATAATAGTTTTTTGGAAAATGATTGTTAATTGTAATATTATTAACAGTACAATTAGAAAAGTATATATTTGGCAAATTAACCTCATTTTCCTGGCATTCCACCGAATGAATTTCTTATTCGGGAATCATATTTATTGACGATGTGAAAGTGTCGCCACTGGAAGTCGACGCAACAACTTCCTCACCAAAATTCATTTCTTTAGGTATTTTTAGATTCAGGAGAATTATTTTCATCCGTCTTTCTCGAAACACGTTATACAAATATTCTTTAAATAGATATATTACAAGCAACACTCCACGATATCGTACTAAAGTGCTTCAGAAACAAAATTCATTTGTTTACTATCGCAGTAATGTCGAAACTTTTCCCAGAAATCGTGAGATGTTATGGTCACCGACATGGTGAACTTACCACGAAGTGTTACAGTGTTATTTCTGCCTAGTCCAAATTGAAAAACTCGGCTCCGCTACACTCCGACTCAACTTTTAACTTTGTGCCTCTTTAGTATTAACACTCATAACATTTCTAGGTACGTTAATAGCTATACCATTTTGCGGGGTTCAAAATATAAAACTTTATTCTTCCACGTCGCCAGGCCACGTATGAATGAGAGTATCATCTATGTTATGGCAATGGATAACACCTACTTTTCATGGCAACATATAACAGTTTTAATTTCCTTTTCTGAAATAACTGAACCATTGAATAAAAGAAAAGTATGCCGTTTAACGTCTGTTTTATAGACTAAATAAAACCAATTGACATATTCAGACAAAAACATTAGAAGTAATAAAGAGAAGTATAATAACGTACGAATGATTAGAAATAAAATTGCATACGAAGTAATGTCATTCATTTCTCATCAGAAACAAACATACCTAGTTTCAATATACATATTTCTCTGAGTAAATTTGTTTCCGATTTAATTTTGTTTTATACTCGTACGCCAATGAAGTCATCAAGATCGACAAGTGAAATTTACTGACATAAATACTTCTAAGTGATATTTACATTTCTTCTACGTTGGTTTGGAAACTATATCATCAATCTTTTATTAAAGTTTCAGTTATTTTTTGTGGAAGCAAATAAATTTGGTAAAATTTATAAAATTCTATTTTAAACAATTTACCTATAACAATTTATTATAAATTATGACAAAATACTCAACATTACGTTTTATTTAGAAGTTGATGTTTAAATTTTCTTCCGAGCTTTAATTAGCATTTGGTTTGATTTACAAGAGAATGCCTTTTTTTTTTTTTTTTTGAACTAAAAAATTCGGGACCTCAATTACGTCGGATCCTGGGGCAAGTTTAATTGTATAGCTTGGTGTATAATTTGATTTGCTACAGTTGCCTCCTCCCTCTCCCTGGTTGCCATTGTTTGGGCGCCCCCCCTCCCCCCGTGTATTTGGAATTGTAGCTACGGCTTATCTTTTGTTTATTCGAAGTCGACTTCACATATTGATTAAAGGGTTGAATTCATAATTGTTTTAAGCTTTATAACAGTTATTAGTTTTTAATGTCTGCGATTAAACGTCCTTAATCTGCATATCCGTGTAGTCCTTCATCATTTAAAATAAAAAGGATGTACGTCTACAGCTTCTAACCAATATTCTCATTTCCTCTTTCTGATCTGGCGCCGTTCCAAATCGTGTTGACACATCTGACAAGTGTTCTCGTCAGCAATAGAATTGTAGTACACGATAAAAAGGATTTTTAGAAAATGATGGAAATAGTAAGTACCTCTGAGTTGTAATTGCTGTGTTATGAGACAAACGTGAAAGGAAAAATTACGTAGAAAATGAAGGTAGAAAGATTAAATTTATGTGGCGACTAATAATGATACTTTTAATATATTTTTGCTATTCCGCCAAACTTGAATGTTTATTTCAAATACATAGTTAAGATCATTCAATGGGGTTGACATTCAACAGCTTGAATGGGGTTTTGGGGTGAAATTTGAAAAACAGGTTGCAAAACACCTTCAGACACAAATAAGCGCTAAATTCAATAAAACAATGAATGAAAATAATTAAAAATTAAAGTAAAGTAGAGGATAATGAAATGTAGTGCATGAGAGTAGAATGTTTACGTAAAACATCAAACATTTGTTTCAACATCAACTGTATTCTTTTATTAACAGATTATAATATGTTTGTTGAAGAATACAGAAAAAGTCCCCAAAGTACATGGATCATGAAGCCTTGTGGTAAATCACAAGGCGCCGGAATATTTTTAATTAATAAGTTGTCCAAACTTAAACGATGGTCCAGCAAAACACCATTCAATCCGACACTAGTGAAAGAATCTTATGTGATATCCAGGTAAGTAAATACCTTCTCAGGTAACTGAATTAATAATACCAATATACTACTACTATTACTACTACTACTACTACTACTACTACTACTACTACTACTACTACTACTACTACTACTACTACTACTACTAATAATAATAATAATAATAATAATAATAATAATAAATATTAATTTTCACGTTGAACATAAGATTATTAAGCTAATGAGACATTATTACCCAATAAAATATTTTTAACTTTACTTCCTTTACCAAGGTACATCGATAATCCACTACTCATTGGAGGGAAAAAATTTGATCTGAGATTGTATGTCTTAATTACATCTTTCCGTCCTTTAAAAGCTTATCTCTTCAAACTTGGATTTTGTCGATTTTGCACGGTGAAGTACGACACCAGTATTCAAGAGCTCGACAACATGTACGTCCATCTAACAAACGTATCAGTGCAGAAGCACGGGGTAAGTAACACATCTTAATTCAGGTTTCACAGGCATCTCATGGCACGTTTGAAGTTTTGTCCGGTTGTTAAGAGACTACCAACAGTAACGCTTTTCTGAAAACACGACATTGTCTAAACAATCTTGAGCTATTGACAAACCGAGTATACTTAGATAACACTGTTTCGTTTCCATGTGTAGTGGTTGGCAGAAAACCATTTTGTAAAACTAGCGGTAACCCGACAAAATGAAATCAAAATCGTAGAAAATCAAAAAAATTCGCCCCGAAGAAGTTCGCAGAATGGCGGCCGAAACGTTATCGCCTGTGCCTAAGACGCGGCATCTCCTAGACAGCTGAATCCGGTCGCGGCTGGAAGCTACTGAATCCGGTCGCAGAAGCCTACGCTCTCACTTGATTGGTTCTTCCAAATATTTCGAAATATTTTTTTGTGGGAAAACATATTTTTATTTTAATTAGTAATAGTATAGTTCGTAAAAAATAATTGAAGTGTGTTTAGTTAAAAAAAAGTACGAAGTATAAATGAGTCGGTGCAAACAAAAAGGTTCGATACCACTCTTTTGTTATTTCTGTTAGTATCAGATCAGATAATTCTCAGATAATAAATCAGAAATTTCTTTGTATGCTAATTCGTATACATATTATTGCTACTCCTCTTTCCTTTTTTGCATATTATCGTCTTGTAAACAATCAGTATTACTGTATCTTGTACTGAACCTGTAAACATTAATCACGTACGTGTCACTGATGTAATGTATATTTGTTTCAGTCGCTAATGACCTAGCTGTCGATGCGATATTAAATAAATTAATTTTGTTTAATTGAAAAAAAATGGTTCAATGTCTCGCCGGTTTTGCCGGTTTCAATTAAACGTTGGGAAACTGTTCTTAAAATATATATTTATCTTTCTATACACCAAAGTTCGTTGTCTTTAAACTCTGTGACGTCTGTTCAGTGTCCTTCAACTATTAATGTTAAGAAAAACCGATCGATGTCTCAAACCTAGAACATTTTTGCTTGCTCTTCAAAATTTGAAGCTCTTGAACATCGAACGTTTTTGTTTTCAACGATTCAAACACGTTAAAACTAGATTGTAAAAAGCACGTTTTTCGTAGATGCGTGAGATAGGAACCAATGAAAATTTATTTTCGATCAAAATAACTTTAGAAATGTACTTTATTTGAATTTCTGTTTTATTCGACTACAACGTTTTTTAAAATGAACAATGCAATGAAATGTTGGTTTTTTGTTTACAAGCAAATTAATAGTAAATAGTTTATGTAATTAAAAAACTGATTCTATAGAATACCAACGTGTTCGTTGCGCCCAATTCGTAACTTCCCCTCATTGCTTTTCGTTCTGAAGGTCACTCGCTTACACTTTCGTCAAAGGCGCTGCCTACCCAGTACTCAATCTACCTTCCAATCCCCACCGCAAGTGACCCTCTCCCCGCGATAACTCCCGTCGCAGCTCGGAGCTGAGACAACTCGAGATCTCGTTTGAAACGAGTTGGGCAGGACTGGTTTAGATACTAGGGTAGACCACAGACGAGCAGGCAAACTGACCGACGTTTTGGCGTAAACAGTAAACCATATTTTTCGGTATCAAGGACTCACAAAACGCGAATTTCGACTACACAATGTATTAGTAGCAGTAATTTATTTCAAATTGGAACAAGATTCCCACCCTTTTAATTTATCGTTTTATTATGAACGTACTAAAGAGAAAGTACTGTAATGTTGTGACAGAAATCGGCGATTATTCGGCAGGCAAATTCGTATTTTGAGGTCAAGGTATCGAAAAAGTGGGTAAATCTTGTTGCTACATGAAATAAATTACTTCTTCTTGCACGTATAGCCAGAATCCACGTTTTGTGGTTCCTAGACACAAAACTATTGACAAAAATTAATTAACATGTCTGTCCGCCGTCTGTGGTCAACGCTGGCGCCTCTACCATTCAGAGGATTTTTTCCAAAATTGACATTCCCCGAACGATCTGGAGGAACCAGAAACCTTATTAGTTTGAAACGGATCTTTTCATTTTTGGAGGTGCATTACATTCAGTTTCAACATTTTCAAAATTTCCCTAAAAATGTGCGAAATGTTTTGGATAATCTTTTTTTTTTTGCCTACCGTAAACCTTACAAACAGCGCAGGACTGATTTTTGTTGAAATCTCGGAATTTTACAACTACAATATCGAAGATAAAGATTTTTTCCTGAATGAACTATTTTCTTCAAGATAGATCGTGACAGAAGGTGATGAAGAATGTTTCGAAAATATTAGTAATCTTTGTGTAATTTTGCATGAAATATAGACAAGTATTTTTTATAATCCAGCTCCGAATTTTCTCTTTAATTTTTTCCCCTCGAATAGAGCAAAGAACGCTTAAAATATGAGGCAGATTCCATTTGGGGCAATCTCTCCATAATTTCGAACATTGCAAACAAAGCTTGAACACTGCAAAAGTACTATACTAATAATACGATTTTTCCTAAATATAACCTATTCTCTAAAATTAGATCTTGAAATAATTCAAATGAAAATCTTTGAATTTTTAAAAAGTGGTGATGCAGATGTTTTTTTAAGTGTCGGGAGGTACATTTTAGCTTTGAGGCAGGTGGTGTTAGCCTAGGTGCCAACAAGAAAAATCACGTATGATAAGCTCAAAGTTAAAACGTTTTGCGATGTTAGCTAGTGTTATGTATAATAGTGAAACGCAAGTATGGCGGCCTGTCTATATGGGCATTGGGCAGCACAATTTTTTTTATCTTTCGAAAAAACTATGCCCTTAGAGAATAAGTACAGAGTTAATTGTTGTTGTGTATTGTTCATTCAATAGCCAAAGTGAGAAGGAGTAGTACGACATACCGATATGGGGTCTCAAACTGTCCGCCTTATTCCAATCAAATTGTCATTTTTATGCCCTTTTGGATTACGAGTTCAACGCTAATTTTGTGCCTAATGATAGAAGTTTTTGTGTACGTCCGCAGAGTTTTCAAGTCCGCAGTGGCGCCAACATGCAAAAAAATATACTATATTGCATGGTGTTTATATAATTTTGTCCAGCTCCTGTACATCCACAGGAATGTAATTTAAAATAAGTTTCGATTATATTTTTGTGTGACAATAAAAAAATTACATTTTGTTTTATTTCAAACAGTGAATCAATTTTATTTTAATAGTTAATAAAAATAGTTCAAATTATTTTCACATATTTACCAAACAATAAAAAGATTGGGTCTAATCCCTTATCGTAACGTATCGACCCCGACGTCGCTAGATCGGTGAACGAAAGTTAAAGACGAGTGGTGGGAATAAGAGCATTCAGTTTCATAGTTCAAATTACACATCTTTTGTTCATTAAAACGTATTCTGGCGTATAATGCGTATAAAGTAGACGTTAGACAGGCTTAACTATGTTTTATATTAATCATGTAGGCCAAAGTCTGGACTCTCGTCAAGAACTTCGACAAACAAATCTTTAAAATAAATCGTGTTGGACTCGAGGATGTTTTATTTTAATCTCGTAGGCTGGAACCTTGTCCTGATATTGGAGACACTCACGGGCCCGTGTTGTTGTTCGCCATGTTTTCGTAGAAGTGAGCTTATTCCCTCTCGTTCATTACGATAGAGGAGAAGACCCAAAACTGTGTTCAAAATATTACTGGGGGTCCATATCTAGCGGGGGACTTAGAAAGAGCTTAATATTCTAATATATAAATCCGTCTCTGACCTTATCCAATGTTTCAGGGCGAATATAATGTCATGCATGGAGGAAAATTAAGCGTACAGAATCTTCGCTTATATCTTGAAAGTACTCGAGGAAAAGAAGTAACAGAACGTCTTTTTACAAATATCTCTTGGCTCATTGTACATTCATTAAAAGCTGTGGCGCCTGTTATGGCAAATGATCGTCACTGTTTTGAATGTTACGGATATGATATTATCATCGATAACAAGTTAAAACCTTGGCTTGTCGAGGTAAGATGACAGTAAATAATTTGTTCCTTAAAGTAGTTCGTAATGTGCTAAACGTTTGTAAAGCATAATCAATCGAATCATTTAAGATTACGTCATAAATTTGTTTATCGAAAAAAACTTCTGAACCTCGTTGCAACGATCATTATAGAGGGATAGAAACCCCAAATTAGAAGTTTTCTGTTAATGCTATTCGTAAAAAGGCAAGAACGGGATCCCAGCGTTTCGCGGAAGCGAAGACATAGCGATTTCAATACGTTCAGACATGACAGTTTTTTAAAAGAAAATGTATTCAGATCACTCTGGTTTGTGTCACCTTTCGGCAATTTCACAATCCTAACTTAAACAAATAATTTTACAATCATTGACTATGGTGATATAGTACAATAAATTATGACTTTTCTCCGAATTTGGTGCTATGTCATTCTGCAGGTTCTCAGTTTTAAATTTCCAAATTTTAATACAGTGACCATCGTGATTGAAAATGATGCATTTTATACCAAATTCAGTTTAAAGTACCCTTATATCTTTCGTAATTGTTTTATCATCTCGAAACATTTCATTATCGTGATACGTGGTTTCCACACGGCTTCCACAACAATGCCGCTAATGCCAAATCACATTACTCTCATAGTGGGTTATATTTCATATTACCTTCTTTCAACTAACAATGTACTAAGCTAAAATTTTAGTGGTGTTTTTTATACTCGCACACAAATTTTATTTCAGTACAATATAGTGATTATGAGAAGCTGTATTAGTTATTATTCGAAAAAGGAATGCCTTTACGGCGGGTTTGAATATAACAGGTTAAATCAGATTCGTTCACTTTTGCCTTTTGGAGGCGGAAATATCAAATTTCGCCAGCGTCCGGGTCTACAATTTCTGCAGCACTCGTGATAATAAATGCAGGTAAGTATATAGATGACATCATAGTCCACGCAGCAAGACGACTGACTTCATACGATTTCCGACGACCACAAGTTAAACCTTTCGATTAAAGTTCGATTTCTGCATAAATTAAACCAAAATAAAAATTGTTTAAAGGGGTAATGTAAGCAATGTGCTGCAGCAGCGACGCACATTAAAATAATCCGTGTCTGGAAACTAAGCTAACGTAACGCTGTTTGGACTAGCTCTCGTCGGAGAGCTGGCCCTGATGGGGGTATTTCGTGCGCTGAAAGGCACTTAGGCAGCGCATGAGTTGTAGGAGCATCCCCTGCCCCCACCCTCTCCCGAGGAAGCTCTGTCGTCAGCCAGAGATGTCCCTCCGCTGACTCTGCGCACTTGGGCTTTTAAATGCGCATGTCGCTGCTCGAATTTTCGCTTTCCAAAATGCGTCTATATTTTGCTACGACACACTGTTCATGTCACTACTATTGAAAGACTACAAGACTATTGAAAACAAGTGGATCATCTCATTTCCCTGATTTTCCTGAATATATGGCCCTGCGCTAACAGTTAATAGTCAAGAATGAATGCTATAGAGATATAAGAGTACCGTATCCAACTAACAGGACATTTCGAGTTGATAATATAACAGGTTCATGAACTTCCATGCCTCTATATTTTTGCTATTTTGAAAGTCAGTCTTCATTTCAGGTAAACGCATCACCTTCACTTACGTCCACAACAGTTAATGACAGAATATTGAAATACAAACTTATAGACAATATACTGTCTGTAGTTCTTCCGCCTGATGGTGTTCCCGAGTAAGTATGGATATTTTTGACCTGTGACAGTAAGAGTAAAGGTAAACATTTTTAGATATTTCCTATAATTTCCTACTGTAATTTTTTTTGTAGCATACGTTGGAATAAAGTACCATCACCTGAAGCTCTGGGAAATTTCGAGCTCCTTCTGGACGAAGACCTAGCTAACCACGCAGATGACCATGGCTCGCATTTGCCAGGGAGAGGAGCTCGCTCAGACATGAGAAGCACGAGTCGATGGAAATGAGTTTAAATGCTTTTTTAATAAGACTATTATTTCTCAAAACGGCGTTCTCCGGAACCAATGGCGTTCCGCAAACGCACAAGAAATGTTCAGCGGATTTTGATATTTCAATATGAATTTTAAAACAACAGTAGAATTCAAAGGAAACATCGTCGGTGAAGAAACAATATGGCGTAACCGACATCCCAGGCACTACGTGTAGCATTTGATAGCGTGAAAAATTTAATTTAATCATTTTTATTAGTTAACTTGCATCTCACACACAATCAAATGGTACTCGCTGTGTCAGAGATGCGAACACATCTAAAAACAAAATGTCAAAACGTCAGTTACGCAGTATTGTTTCTTCACTAACGATACTACTATATTCGCAAAGTGGCAACGAGCAATAAATTCAGCACATTTGGTTTCTGTAACTAACACAAAGTACAGGGATAATGGACTTTTCCAAGCATATCTTAATTACTCGCTTTGCTTACACGCTGACAGGTTTATTTTTTTTTAAGATCTCTTGTGGTTATTTTGGATTCCTTCACACCTATTTCTCAAAACCCTTTTAAAGCATTTTCTGCACAACGTTGTACTTCATTGAACAAAAAATTAATAAATTTAACAGTCGACATTGTTTAGACCTCCTCCAAAGGTAATTTAAATAAATTTTCACGGTTTATGTCAACACTCGCACAAGAAGAAATAATTTATAATTAATAAACTTTTAAATACTTGTTTTGTTTTTCATTCTGTCCGCCCCCAGATCAGTATTCACGTGTGTCGTTTCACAACAACCAATTTTTGCTCCTCCTGAACCTCACACTTGAAAGCAGCCTTTTTGCTGCTGCAGGCCACTAGTACATTATAATGTAGGATTGATTTATTGGTGATTCCGGGCGTAACAAACGCTAAGATCATTTGTCCCGTAAGTGTAATGCATATTTTGCTCGGGAAGTGGCGAAGATCTTCCCCCGCTGGACGGTGAGACCTGGCGCTCCCTAACGTCGGCTAATGGATTTTTCCACAGCCAGGTATCTCCCACCAGGGGCACCGCCCCAGCCGGGACAAGCTCTAAACCCCAGAACCAATCTCCTGTCATGTGTGTTAGTGTAGTGCATGTGTGTGTGTAAAGGGTGAGGATCGGACAAGAAAGGGGAAGGAAAGGCGAATGCCAAATCAATACCCTAATAACCATGATATTCCCTTCTTCATTCTTTATCCCTCCTCTCTCTCTCTCCCCAAAACACACACACACACAAACACACACATTAAACTTACTACACAACAACGCCATGTTAAATTAGTAGTGCTAGCATGTACATACTTTGTCGCATTATTTATATTCCACAATTTCCGCTACAATTCAGAGTGCGCAACGAATATGAGACCTGCGTTATTCATTTAAGCTTCCGTTGTTCTATCAGTGGAATAAAACATAATTAAAAATTCGGACCGGTTTTACAGAAAACGAAATTCTTTAATATATTGCATTAATTGTAATAACAAATGAAGCGAAAACTACTCGTTTTCCAACAAATTGTGCTTAACCTTTTGTAAAGATCTTATTGTACTTTCTCACCTTTCTTCGTAAGAAGAGAAAGTTATGTAATCGTGTGCCGAAAACGGTGAATTTTCGGCCTTATTGCCCAGCCCTCGTGCTGAAAAAGTAGATAAATCCTGCTGCTGTATATAGTAAATTACTTTTTCTAACACGTGGTGTAACCAGAATCTATGATTTGTGGATTCTTCAAACCGAAAAATCGATTGACGGCAAAACACCCGTAGGTCAATCCGTCCGACAGCATATCCGTCTATGGTCAACGCTAGCGCCTAAATCGTTCAGCAGATTTTCTCCAAAATTGATATTTCCCAATAGATCTGAATGAAATCGAAGCCTTAGTAGTTTCAACAGGATATTTTGATTTTTGAGGGTACTTTACATGGAGGCTCAAAAATATTTTAAGAATTTTGTCAAAAATAGCAGCATTTTTGTTTTATTAAAGTTTGTCCCCGGATAGAATAAAGAACGCAATGATCTTTCCACTGGAGGACTAAAGGACCCAATGATTCCTCAATGATCTTTCCACTGAGGATGGAAATGTGTTCCAAAATTAAGCTGAATGTAATGGACACGGCGATTAGGGCAAATGTGAAAGATTCTCTCTCCCTACCTGAACGCACATCAACCTCCTTTATCTACGGCCACAGGGAGGATGGAGCTATCGGAATTCAATGCTTGAGCGCGGCGGCAGACTTCTGGGCAGTCGACTCTGCGTTCAAAATATTGACTTGCTGGGATACTAACACCAGAGAAGCAGCGCTACAAGACGCAGTCGAGGAAGCGGCGTGCCTTGAAAGTGAATCAGCCATACCCTCCCTCCTACGCTACCTAAACAAAGAACGAACAAAACGCAGCCTAGATTCTGGGATGCCTAGATTCTGGTCGCGGACAAGGCAGGCATCCAAACGCTTAAAAATAAAATGGAAATTCATAGAAATAGGGAACACCCACACTCCTGACATCATACTTCCCCACACCTTCCCCTACCTGCGTACGAAAAGACGAAACCCCCGCTGGGCCTGACTAGGCGAGGAGCCACGAGAAGGAGCGACCCCCTACCATGCCCTCTCCTGTCAGGGCCCTCGACCCGGATCTGCTACCAACCGTAGGAGCGAGTGCGGGCGGGGCCGCCAGTGGGACGTCCCATCCCCGAACCTTCTCGACCCGACCGGGCTGCAGCAGCACGGCCGGGATGGTGGTGCCCTCAGAGACCCCCGCCACTACCTGCGGTGATGCAGTCACCTGCCGACTGGGGCCGAACACGGAGGAGAGGAATGGAGATGAGGATAGAGTGACATTGAGCACCAAGGACCGGTCATCGGTGGTGAGACGCCTACGTGACGCTTTCCATAGGGCACACTCCCAGCGCTGGCTGGAACAGCCCACCCAAGGCATATATACAAGCGCTCCCAAGGGGGTGGGGAAGGAATCTACCTACTTCCTACAGTCTGGCTGGAACATGAAAATTTCCACCCATACGTTTCTGTTTCCGGCCAGGATCAACTCCTCCCCAGCTCTCAACTGCTGCCCAGGTAACGTGACCAAAAGTTGTAGAATGAAATGAACGTGGAACAACGGGCAACAAGCATCCGAGAACATTGGTCACGTTACCACGGAGTGCCGCTACCTGTCACCTTCATGGAACGCCCGACACAACAACATCGGGGCCATTTATAAAGAAGCAGCCATTGCAGTGGGTTGGCAGGAGTTCCGGGGGAATCAGGCAGTGGTGGGCAGCAATCGCCCTGATCTCGTACTCGCGCGCGACAGAATGACACTCGTGGTGGACTTCGTGGTGGCTGACGCCCGAGAGGGCAAACTTAAAAAGAAATTAGAAAAAAATCGTCAAAAATGCGAAGCCGCCCGCGCCCAACCTCATCACCGTCGGTTACCACAGCGCCGAAGTACTCCCAGTTGACGTATGGGCACTGAGAGAATGGTGTGCGGGTAGTGCCGCCACACTAAAGAAAGTTGCAGACAGACACAAGATAAAAGCCTTAAGAGAAAGAATAATCACTGCGGCCATTGATGGTAGAGCGGCGTGCTACGACATGCACACTGGCAATATACTCTTTCACACAAGGCACTCTCCACCCTGTGCCACAGGAAGCTAGCTGCGGAACAACAGAAAAGACCTGCAGCAACACCAGACGACAAGCTGGAGACCCTGCCTCCAGTGTCAGTGAAGTGAAAGCAAGAAGTTAGTGGGTGCCTAAGTGGTACTGAGGTGAAAAAGTATATAAAAATATGCAAGAAGATCAATGCCGGACACAAGCCACTAAAAACTAGATTCTGATCGGACGAGCCATTCCAATACATTTATGTATTATAAATAACACACAATAGCATACATTGTAAACAATAACCAAGAATGCACATATTGTAAATAGTAGCAGTAGGATAGAATTTACACTAAGCCAGGCGGCAACTGAAATGTGTGTGTGTGTATACAAACACACACTTAATCTAATATATATTAGATTAAGAAATAAATATTTGTGTTAAAGAGAATGATGCAGGTATCATGTTCTTTGAAATCCCTAATTTATTCGAAAATTTGCAAAAGTGCAGTTTTTGGGGTCTTTTCCTACAACTATAATATTAGAGATACAGATTTATTCCTTAATGGAATCTATTCCTCAAAGACAGATCTTCAAATAAGGTCGTGTCAGGGAAGTGAAAGCAAGGCAGTGGAAAGTTGGGCAGTGTTCCTGAGTGACGTTCCTGGAACGGTGTTTTGGATTGGCGATTTTGTGTTGATATGTTAGCTCACGTTTCATGCCCAATGCGCTACCATTAGTAAGAGTTTCACATATGATGGTTTAAATGTGTTAATGTGGAGAGAAATTCCAGTAATATTGTTTTATGAAACCGTTAGTGAGGCTAGAAAGTATCTGTTGTTGTGGCACCACTACTTTCAAAACATATTACGTATCTTTTTAAAGATATATTTTTAACAGATTTCATTTAAGACAAAAACCTCATCTTCAAAATTGTACTTTTGCAATGTTAATTTATTTTGAATTTTCCAAAATTCGGACAGTTCAACGAAAATGAAACCAGCCCAATTCTTTTAAGCATTGTTCACACTATACGAAGACAAAGTTTCATGAAAAGTTTGAAGCCCTTTTTAGATAATTTTAAAAATGTTGACTCTTCAAGTAAAGTACCCCCAATATGAAAGTATCCGTTTCAATCTTATTGGACCTCGAGTTCCTTTAAATCGATCGAGGAATTCCAATTTTGGAGAAAATCAGCTGAACGGTCTTGGCACAATCGTTGACCACAGACGGACGGATATAGATTTCATTTGTATTTGTTGTCTTTTTCGCAACATGACTCATAGCCCTTATTTGGGCATTGAGCGTGTCAATCTCTGGAGTAATCCTCAGTAGTTTTTGTCTTTTTGTCTCGTCACTTCGCAGTTTTTTAAAAAAAATTGAAAAGGGTTTATTGATCTTTATTGGGGGTCGTCAGCAGAGTCTCATTCAGCACTCTTGTGCCCCCCCCCCCGGTTGCACCAGTCTAGCTACGCCCCCGTCCAGCAGTGGTGTGTGTCTGTCCAGGACTATGCACTACCCATTTTGGCATGACACACGCACGCACGCGCGCGCACACACACAAGTCTGATTTCATCCCAGGGTTAGCTACAAAAGTTGCAAAGAGTAACAAAATTATTTTTTTGGTTTACTCGGCAATGGACAAAATGAAACCAACCTGCAGAAAAAAGTTCATATGAACACGCGTGCACATATTTCGAAGTGTACATTAATTTTCCCGTTATGTTAAAACAATATTATTGAATATGGTCATCAAACCACCAATGGAGAGAAAATGAATGACAAATTATTAATCTATGCCGCACCAAACACTAGAACGCCGAAGGTATCATTTCTCCTGGCCTTCTTTGTTCTGAGAATTTAGTTTTATAAATTGGAATTTGTGACTTCGTGAATTAATATTTTAAATTATCTACAGTACTTTAATAATGTAAGATATACTTTTCCATGAACAATGATCTAATTTACCTCGAATGCCGGGGAGGGATCATTTCAACACCTTGGGTATTGACCCTAACCTGTAGCTTTTGTTTTATATATTTCAACGCTGAAATATGTTAAATGTGTGTCCTAGTACTAACCTGTAGCTTTTGTTTCATACATTTCACCACTGAAATTTGTTAAATGTGTGTCCTAGTATTTTGGATACCTTTTCAAAAAATATGCAAGCATTCCTTCCAGTTTGCTTTGTTTTCAGCCCTTCATGTTCAATTCACAAGTTGTTTAATGATGGCACAGCATACAGATCACCAACTTTTCAAAAGCTTATTCTTATCACATTTAAGTTGTATGACAAAATAGGTTTTCAAAACATTCATATAAAGAGAAATGTTCAAGTTTAGAAGACAATTTTAAAGTGCGGAAGGGCATTTCAGACTCCAGAAGGAGATGATTTTGTCAGATATACTTGATTTTTTAGCCAGTCTTGTTTTATGATTTTTGAATTAATAAGAGGGGTTTAAGAAGAAATCACTGAATCATTTCACTGTTTCCATCTGAAAAATTATTTTGTTATAGTGTGAAGCAAAATCACACTGCAAATGAAGCAAAAATACACTTGCAAAATCAGAGGAATAAAGTTGATAAAACGGCTTTTTTTCTAAAGACAATTAATTTCAGTTTTTGGCATGACAATAGGACAAATGAAGCATATAATTATGGTTTGTAAAAGATGATCACTAAAAACTGTGCCAATATTTTTACATATAGTGGAAATATTGGGGAAGTATTGTGGAGTGGAATGCAATGAAAAGAAACAAGTGGAAAAACATAGCTATGAGCCATGCATCAGGATACAAAGCAAATGTTGGTCAAACTGCTAGGTATTATTCTACAAAATTAGCTCCATACCTGTGGTCTTTACAAGGTATTAGTTTTGGATCTACCAATCTCACCTATTCATACTGTATGCATAGTAAAGCCAAAAACATCAGAAGTAAATATAATGAATATGTAAACAAAAATAAAAAAATTGCCACTGAAAACCTTTCTTTTAGAATTTTGTCATGTAACACAAAACTCCCATTAGTGTGAAACAAAATTAGCAAATAAAATATGTGACAACTGCAAGAATGTAGTGTAAGAGTAGAGCAGTAGAGAAAAAGTATATTTTTGTATAACATGTGAAATTGCTATTATTTCAAATTATATTTTTCTATTCTTATTACAATGATATTATTCATGCACAAAGTTTACTTTACAACATATCCTTTTTTCTGTTTACTTGAGCATTCAGGTCAGGATGTTTCTATAATTTCCATCCCATGGAAAGGAAATGGCAACAAATCTTTAAAATATAAGATGTGGTATAATACTTCTATTATACACTAAATTATTATTCTTAAGGTTTTAGTTATGAAAATTAATAATTTTGCAATATTTCCTCTGAGAAGCATCATTAATAGCTCGGAGTCGAAACTACTTCACTGGGCATTCTAGGGGATATTGGTAAGCTGGATGTTCTAGTGTTAGATCACTATTTTTACATTTTTATTATAATGAACACAGAATGACTATTTGGGACTATTATTTGACTTTGAAAACAATTCTTTAAATACCATATCACTGGCAACAAATTTATTTAACACAAAATACATTTAACACAAATACATTGGTCTGAACACATAACAGAACACAGATTCCAGATGTTGAAAATTCTTTCTTGTTTAGAGACACTGACAGCATCTACCACCGATGTGAAGGAACACTTGACAGCACACTGATAATGCTTTCAAACAATTTACCAAATGGAGCCCTCAGAGAACAGCAAATTTTTGTACATCTTCTCAATAACACACAACAAAAACTGCATTTCTGCTTGGATATTTGCTTTTGAAAAACAATTTCAGTAGAGTAGCACCCTGCAGACAAATTGATGGTACAGTATCTTAAGTACAGGTAATTTATAGTACAGTACAGGTAATTAACCACCAAAGCAACACAATTTACATATAACCATGTATTTGAACAGTAAAATATTCTTTCAATTTTAGACCAAACAATTACACATTATTCAGTACCATGTACACATTCATAACACAGCCACATAACGGTGAAACAGTTGAAAAAATTCCATTACTAGCAACAGTAAAGACATTAAACATATAATGACAATATAATTTCCAAAAGTGAATATATCTCTTTTCTTTATGGACATTTAATAACAATTTTCTTCCATAAAACGAAAATGCACATCTATTATCAATACGTATGCGTTAGTCAAAACTACACATCAGTGACATTACATCAAAAGAAAGGAAAGGGAATACTGTACAACATAAAAGTTTATAATGCAACACGCAATATACATTTTATACAATTATCCCAACATTGCCATGTACATTCCTATTCATCATAAAACACTTTCGATGGAATATAATAATGAGGTTGCAATATTTCCATTGCAAATCATGCACACTGACACGTCCAAACACTGACACGTCCAAACACTGACACGTCCAAACACTGACACGTCCAAACACTGACACATCCAAACACTGACACATCCAAACACTGACACATCCAAACACTGACACATCCAAACAAAAAAAAATTATGGCACAGTTTCACTTCCCTTTTCAATCAGTCACAATTATGAGCAAGTTGTACAGGTATTAGAAGCTTCTGTCTTCCATGTACATACATAAAGGATAATACATTACTCTTTGCTATTCAACTTGGAGAAGTTAAACACTGTTCAGTCAATTGTCCATATTTTTGGCAAGCTATATTCACAAGTTGCATTCTAAAATATAATAACAATGTATTTTTATTAACTTAAAACAGAATGAATTTGTGAAATATGCTTAAATCTTTTTCAAAAGTATAATCAGAAATTAAACTTTTAGAAAAGCTTTAATTTTATTAATATTAAAGTAATCAGCTGTTTTGTATGCAAATTATGGTTAACCTTAAGTCATCTTCTGTACAAAGTGATTTAATAAAACTTCAAAATATTGTCTCATCATATTATTCACAAAACAGTCAATTAAATATTCATACACCCTACAAATTATGGTGAAGAAAAAATATCCTGTTCTATATGGAATAGAGTTTTTCTTTTCCAAGATGATAACAATACATGTTAACAATCACAGTTAAATATTGAGTTTGGCATTGTGTAAGAACACTTTCAAATGTCATCTGTTTTAAATAAGAAACATAGCAAGGCAAAAGTTCAGAGAAACAGTGATGGTACTCACTAAAGTAAGTTCACATCACTGATATTTTTTATTCTGTGTTGTGTTTATTAGAAAGACATCAATAATCTTTGGTTTTCCCTATAATACATGTACATTGAACATTGGATGTTGCCAATGTACCACACAATCAAGAATATATGAGAAAGTACATTTAGGATAGTTATGAACCACTCTTTATCATTTCATCTTGTTATTGATGAAATCAAAACATATTTTTATTACTATTGACTTAGTTGTTTGTGACCTACAAATTTAACCTAAGCTGAGTCAGGGTTGTTAGAAATGTATGTAAGTATCACCAGCTGTATATATACAGTACCAGCTCAAATGCTGAACACAACTTCACAATATATATAACATATGTAATAGAATGACTCACAAACTATGAAGACCCTCAGTAACTTCTAAATGGTTGATGATATACCCAACTTTCACTCAAGGACACCAAACGGGGGAAATAAGCTGCAGACCTGTTTTCTAATATATTTCTATTTACAAAGATATTTGAGCCAACTCTGATATTTTTAAATGTAACTAGGCCTATACTGTTTTTCACATGAAATGGAGAGATCAGAACAGAAGAACTATGATATATCATTCGTTAATGTTTGAAGAGAGATATCGAAAAAAAAGTGATACAAATTCTGCAATATAGTCTGTTGTAAGCTACAAGCAAATCTTAAAATAAATAAGTACATTGTCAGGGTGTGCTGTTAGCAACACTACCATTGGTCACAAAGACCTGGCAACCAGGACACATGAAAGGCCCAAAGGCACAGACAATTATTCACAGAAGGGCATACCCAGGGCCTTGCAACTCTCCGTCAGGGGACAAAGCTCTAGGAGGGGCTAGTGTCGCCAGGTACAGCTGCAGGTTAAGCTCGCCAATTTCCACAACACAAAAATTGGTAAATCAGTGAGAAATAAGAAAAGAGTCTTTTAAATGTTCAATTATTCATAATATACACATATAATAAATCCCTGAAAGCACAAACTACAGCGCCATCTTTTCTAATATTATGGGCCTGCTTGCAACCCGTGAATTCACGCAACAGCCATGCACGTTTCAAGTATCTTTGGCAGTAGTTATTGTTTAAGTTTCTGTAAGGTGCGGCAGTAGAGCACACCACCTTTATGGTTTCCACCATGTTATGTGGAAGTTATAAGGCCCTGGGCATACCCAGCTGAAAATATTCCAATGTAGTTTCCTTCAAGACCATAATCATGGCTTTGTTAATCTTTAGACCACTGAGCTTTGGCGTGTGAACTCAAAAATTATTTATTTACTAAAAATTAAAGAACATTGAATTTTGGTGGTGATGAGGCATTTGAATCTCAATTCAAACATGTTTCTGTTACAACTAATATAAATTTTGGATTGAAAGTTTACTGTTTTTCCTGGCTTGTTCCCCATGTCAGTATGGTTTCAAGTTCCTCCTGTTCGCACCCTCCCAGCACCTATACCTAGGCCATCTACTCCATTGGCAGCAAATTTGGCCTGCTAGTGCGGCTCAGGCAACAAGGAAATATAAAATACCTACTACATGAAATTACAGATCACAAGGCACAGAGATTATTTTTATTCAGTATTACTTTTCAAACCTAAACAATACATTACTGAACTCCTCTTCTCATACCAAAAGAAAATCGTGTGGTGCCATTTAAAAAATCAAGTTGACAATCTCTCTGTAAATTGAAATATTATGAATATTAGCACAATGGTGTTATAACTTGCCCATATGTTTGCTACTTTTCAGCAATAACTGCATCTTGATGTCATGGGCAATTTAAAAGTTGTCAAAGATGACTGTAGTTGTTGATGCCACATCCTTCTTACAATCCTCTTTATAACACATGTGAAAATTCAACTGAACTGTAACATTCATTAGAAACAAATTAAAAACTAGTATAACAAGAAGAAAGAACAACAAACAAACAACTACAGGGATTCTTGAATTTTACTCACAATTAACATGAAATAAATTGTTTATTGTAACCCAACTCCTCATATATTGCTAACACAACAATAAATATTAAAAACTCGTGTTACAACAGATGCACAGGAAATGTGTTCAAATTTCCAATTATATAGAAGAATTAACAGAACTTTAACCACAATAAAGCTGGCTTTTAGCTAAAAACTCAAATTTCTAACAAAAGCAGAATCAAACCATACAAATCATCAGAACTGCATTCAACCTGTCTAAAGAAAAAGTTTTCTCCTTGTGTGCTTGATGTTTCAAACAACAACCAAGACAAAGGATGGAGAATCTTGACACACCCATCATTAATAATGTTTTATTTCCTATTTCAGGAAGTCCTTACCTTGATGACATGGCACCAATTTGTGATAAGTACATTTCACAGATGATGTAGTGTACTTATATATAATCCTGTTACATGCTACAGCCTCAATATACAGTGCATCTAAATCCATTGGCATGAACAGGAGGCCCAAAAATGCAATAAATGTTTATATACAGAAGACTCTCATCCAACATCTTGTGAAAACAAGAAAGCCAACAGGTGTTCCTTGAAAAACTGTACGTGAATTTCATTTGTAATCATTGACCCTCTGAAACATTCTAAAAACACACATACATTACCTGTCAATGTGTTTGTAACTAGCCCATAAAATAATAATTTATGTTGCTGATATTTTAACCATTGGAATTAAATACAATGATTTTTAATTGAAATGGACAAAAATTTAAAAGAAACTCAATTTCAATAGAAAATGTTTTACTATAAAAATAAAAAATAACATTTCTTGAAAATTGGGTTCAAGATACTCAGTCCTAAAACAAGTCTATATTATCACTCAATTGGTCTGAGCCCAAAATTTTAAATAAGGGTTCATTTGATCAAAAAATACTTGAAGTTTAAGACATTATATCTCTTTAGAAAAATATTTTTCATCACGTAACAGACAATGCCAGAAAACTATTTCTAACAATAAAAACTGTTCTGTATACTTTGTAATCACTTAATCATTATAATAGGACTAAACTTTTTATTATCCTGCCATTTGAGGGCAGAATTCTTTAACAATCAATCTCTCCTCAACAATCCTATTATGACACTTTTTTTTGGTCAAATTCACACATATAAACTGCAAATCATCCAAATGTCAGTATTGTGTAGATGTTAATATAAAAATATGTGGAAATGAAAACTTAAATAGTTTCCAAAAACACTACAAGAAATTTCAAATGTGGTCACTGCCACTAAGTCATCCACTCCTACCTCAGGACCATTTGATTCATTACAGCTTCACAATTTTTCCTTACATTCATCACCACAGGATAACTTCATAGTTATATAAGCACAAGGAATACGATTAGTAACATCAAAATGTCCACTAACAGTCGCTTTGTTACCATTAATTAATTAAAACACCTTGAATCACATCATTGTTTTACATTTAGTAATGTAAATCAGCAAATGTTTGTAATATTTATAGATGTCTTTCAAAGCAATATACGAACTAACAGTTATTTGTAAGACTTCATAAAGCATCTCAAATATTCTTATCTTGCATCATATCTGAATTTCCATCCCATGGTGATCATGAAAAATTTGCCTGAAACAGAACAAGGATGAGATTTCGATATGGCTTTTCCCTTTGGAGGAAATGGTTATAATAATGATGATGAAAATAATTATTTAAAATCCAACATTCTTGGGTGAAAACTATTCACATCATTTTCACAAAATATATTGTTTCTAACCTGCATTACACGAGTTCATGATGTCTTCACCCAAATTTTGCAATAAGCTTATTGCGGACATCTTCAAACTCCCCAAGGCGATCTGCACTGTGCATTCTATTGAGCCAAAGTAATACGTTCATTAAATATCGTTCTGTTGTATCTATGGCATCCTCAGCATAGCGAGGGTAAACATTATTTCCATCCTGTTTCTTCTTTTCTTCTGAAACACAAACAATGCATTTGCATTGTACACTAAAATTCTGCGGCTCGAGTTCATGAGTTCTAGGTTGTCTGTGTGACCCTGCGTTGTTGGATGAGAGGCTTCCTCAGGGTTGTGACTGATTTTTTTCCTTCCGTTCACACTCACATTCATACTTTGACTATATTTATATATATGTATACACACACACACACACACACACACACAAACACACACACAAACACACACACACAAACACACACACACAAACAAACACACACAAACACACACACACAAACACACACACACAAACACACACACACAAACACACACACAAACACACACATTAATCATTAATTCACACAATCGGAAGACAACACTACACTGCTTTTTTCCCGGCGTAGCCGAAGGTCGTTGAGAGTATGGGTCATACTGATTTCAGGATCATGTTGCAATGCGCAGGCAATTTGCGTTTTACTGCTAAGCGTAAAATTGTCAGTGTAGGTTCGCGACGGACCTTAGTCGCCAGTTTCATGATTAATTTAGTCAATTTGTAACGTCATTTTAGCGGGTCTACTCGCTCTATGCCCTCAGTATGTCCGAGGGGAGAGCTTGTCGTCCTATAGTAAGGTCATGTCTTTGGAATTGTTTAAGCGTTGCCGGAGCTTCGTTTGATAGAAAGCCTTGATAGGCTTCATTGAATGATAGCCATCTCAAGCATTGAGTGAAGGACTCGATATCAAGTTCCTTCCTCAGTATTTTTAGGCGTTTCCGAAACAGCGAGCGAGCTATGAGTCTTAGAATGCTGTTCTGAACTAACTCAACTGTATCCTTGTACTTACGAGGATGCGGAGAAGGTGGCAACAGCCCGGTTTTATAGAGTGCCAGGCGAAAATCCAAGGGAAGAGAAGGTTCCTTTAAGAGAGGTTTTAAGAGACGGACCATTTGCTGAAGTTTCGATCGGATTCGCCAGACATGTAAATGTCAGCGCATCCTCAGATCGAAAGTGACGCCTAGGCAAGTTGCCTTTTTAAGTTTTTGGGTTCCGATTGCGATTTGTTTAGGCGGCGTGAACCGCTTTCTGTGTTTGTGTTTGCGGCGAAAGTAGCAAATTGCCTAAGACTTTTCCGCTGAGAAAGTAAAGTGGTTATGTTCGCCCACTTGAGAGTCAGATTCATCTGCTTTTGTATTGTTTTTTAATTTATGGTCTAAGTTTATTCCTCTCGCTAAGACTGCTATATCGTCAGCATACATGAATAACCGTATCTGCGGTTTGTCATTGACGAAAAGCGAGGAGAGTAGCGCGGAGAGCAAGGAGCCGTGGGGGACTCGTGTGGGGAACGTGCGGTTTGCGAGGAAAGATGTAATCATGTCCGTTACATTTTGTGGGAGGCAGCTCTTAAGTTTGGAGATCAGTGTTCTGTGTGACACTTTGTCGAAAGCTTGTACAATGTCGAAGTAGACGACTGGTACATCCTGTAAAAGTAAGAGATCAGTGGAGACCTGCTGGGCTATACATAGTGCCTGTAGTGAGGCTCTATGTCCAGGTCGGAAGACAAATTGTTCATCTCGTATTAGGTTTTGCGAGATGACAGCTGGTTGGTTTCGCGCGAGGATTAGTTTTTCACAAACTTTCCCCATGATAGGGAGAAAGCTGGTAGGCCTATGGCTTGTCGCGAGAGTGAGGTCTTTTCCGGGTTTCGAGAGCATTGCAATGCTACCGTGTTTCCAACTCTCCGGGAAGTACCTTAGTATGATGCAGCTGTTGTAAAGGTGCGTGAGTCCCGAGCTGATGATCGGCAGCACCTCTTTGGGGGACCGATTTGATCTGAGCCGGGTGTCTTGCGACTGGGCATACTTGTAACGGTTTTTGAAATTTCTTCGACGGTGCAGTGTGAGTACGGTGTTGCTTTCCTCTGCATTTCCCTCGTCTGTTTGAGAGGTGTTATTTGTAAACCTTTCTTCAAGCATATCTGCAAAGAATTCCGCCTTTGCTTTGTCGGTGAAAAGAAATGTTGGTTTTCCTTCCGCGAAGTCGGGTCTGCGAATGGCAGTGTTTGTGTTTGGTAGGGACCTCAGAGCCTCTTGAAGTTTAAAAAGGCCGTTTCATGAGTGATCGGTGCCGATGTCTCTCATGCGCCTTTCTCACTCGGCTGTATGGTGGTTTCTAGCGCTAGCTTTTAGGCAGTTTTCTCATTCACGCAATTTAGTTTTGAGCGCGGGACATCTTAATTGTTGCCAGAGCCTTCCAGACTTGCGTTTTCGCGCAGAAGATCTACGACGCCGGGTAGGAGGGTGTTTGATCGTCCTTCAGGCGGTCGCCAAAATACTGGCGTCACCTTCATGAGGGCTAATTGTAGTTGTTTTGTGAGTTTTGATTTGAATAAATTTGAATTTGAATAAATTACAGATGGAGCTGCAGCAGCGCATGCGGACGCATCTGATTTGCCAGGTCCGCAGCAGATGGAAGCTGGAACTCAAAAATTCGCCGAAACTGTGACTGACAGCCTCAACGCAGCAGCGTTCCTCTAAGAAGCGTGAGAAGCAACGTTCCTCTAAGAAGGAGCGGCCATTAACCTCTACTAATAAATTTAATTTCTAGGAAAAACAGCGCGATGTGGGAGACATCCAGCGAGATATCCAGCAGATAAGCGGGAGTTAAATAGATTAAAACGTAAAGTGGAAATTGAACTAGCTAAATACCGCAATCAGAAATGGGATAAATTGTTTTCAGGTCTCAAACCTGAAGATAATTCACTGTGGAAAATATTTCGCATGTTTTCTAGGTACCCAATAACAGTGTCGCCGCTTCAGACCAGCACAGGTGAGTTCGCACAGCCCAACGAGGCGAAAGCGGAACCCCTAGCTAATATTTTAGAATCTCAGTTTCAGCCGGTCAAGGCGCCGCCAATACCGCACGTTGTCGAAGTGCAACAAACGGTAACGGCAGCACCGCACGAGCCCGCCGACAATCAGTTTCACTACAACACACCGAAGTTAAAGCGGCCATCACGGAGGTGAAAGCTCCCGGCCCCGACGGCATCTCTAATGACGTCCTTAAGCTGCGGCAGCAAAGCCATAGTGTTTCTAGTCGCTCTGTTGAACGCTATATTTGTTTAAGCACTTTTCAAGTCAGTGGAAACATGCACATGTTTTAACTTTTCAAAAGCATGGGGGAAAACCCAAATTGCTCGTGTCGTGCAGGTCCATAAGCCTATTAAACACGCTCGGAAAACTATGTGAATAACTCATTCAAAACAGAATTCTTAAATACGTTTCAGATAATTCACTTATAAATAAGGAGCAGTTTGGCTTTCGTGCGTGTCATAGCACAACGCATCAGCTTGTGCGAATCACAGACCGCATAAGACGCAACTTCGAGGGTCGATTTACAGGAGGAGAGTTTCTCGACGTTGCCAGCACCTTTGACAAGGTTTGGCACCTCTGTCTCCTTTATAATCTTCAATCCATGCACTTTCCTTTGTACCTTGTGAACCTTATCCACTCTTATACAGCATTGTAGGCTTTCATTGTACGCACCCTTATCCACTCTTACGAAACAGAACGTTTCTAGTGACGCTTCTGAATGCTAAATCTACCCACCGCGCCATACGGGCCGGAGTGCCTCAAGGGAGCGTGATTGCTCCTACGCTCTTTAGCCTTTATGTACGTGATATTCCCACGCACCCTCAAACGGTCGAAAAAGATCGAGCTTCTCCAGAAGTACTTGGATCAGCATTTACTACAGATCCAGGAGTGGCTGAAGCTGTGTCGGATCAAGGTCAATGTAAGAGTGCAGCTGTACTCTTCACACGGAGACTGTGATTCACGGAGCCGAAGCCGCTCGCGCGGAGACGCGATTATTATGGCAAAACATGGAAAATATTTAAGGGCCCACTTACTTTTTAATGTGCACATTGAAAACATGCGAAAGAAAGTGCGGCAGACCAGAGGCAGATTACGAAGCCTGTTTCACAAGCAGAGCAAACGCCAACGGCAAACTGCCTCACGCTTTATAAAGCAATTATTTGGCCACAGCTGAACTACGTATGTCCCAGTTGAGCAATTGCAGCAAATAAACATTTGAATAAACTGCAAGTAGTTCAAAACGAATGCCTCAGGGCCGCCCTCTGCGTCCCTAGATACATTCCCATTAAAAATTGACAGAGCAGAGCATAAAAAAGCAGAAGACTCGAAAAACTCATTTGCAAGATCGCCTCATACCAACCCATCAACGGGTGAAGTGCAGGCGACCGAAGCAATTCTTGGAATAATCTGATAAAGAGTAATCTGAAACAGCGAAATGACACTTGAAACGAACTTAGCATTTCTGCACACGCAATATGCGTGCTAGTTGGTCAGTCATTTCTGACCTGTCATTCTTTATGTTGCAGGATTGACCATATATGCCCGTAAGGGTAGGAATGGTCGCACCGCAGTGGCGTGAACGTGCATTGCACTTGACGCACGTTCACAAAACTGCACAAAGAGGGCTCTGCGCAGTGTCACTGCCCTGAGGAAGCCTGCAAAATGACAGGCGAAACGTCGGCCTCTCAGCCAACAACGCGCCGTCACCCGGACAACCAAGAACAAGTGCATTTACATTTTTATGCGAAGGACAGGTTTAAGCAGAGAGAAGCAGACAACGAAGGAGGGATGGGAGAGAGGAACGATCTTTCATTTCCAATGTCTAGAAATCTTCAAAATGCCCAGAACAAGTTATATGGAAATTGTTTATTTGAGTCAAAGGACTGAGAAGTCTAAAGACATTCACATATTTAGTGGGTTGAATTAAAAACTAGTGTCAAGAGGAGTTTCCATCAAAGAGATAAGAAACATATTAGAGTTGCGAGATATATTTCAATATATCAAAATGAAAGGGTTATTAATTCTATGCATACACACTAAGTCTGTGAGAACCCGGCAGGTAATTTTTTGGTTTTCTCAAAACGATTGCTACTTTCTGGCTTCTTGCTCACAGGTAAATAGTATTGGTGTGTACCTCATTTCATGATTTACAC